TTGATGTGATTGTCTTGCAATATATTTAAAACAGGCTTTGTGGTAATAGTAGTCTGTGTAATTCAGTTCAATTTTATTTATATGGGGCCAATTCACAACAGCAGTTGTCTCAAGGCTCTAAGTGGATATAAACCTTCTGTTCTTCACTAACTGATTTTTTTTACTTTGTAAGAAACAGTCTGAGTAACTGGTCTTCTATTATTCCCAGTAACAACATTAACATCTGTCCACTGGTCTTTTACAGCGTTTCGCATTTGTTCAGTATCATTAGGCATCATTAGTTAGTTTGTATCTGGCTCGTATGAATATGTTTTGCTAATTTTGTGTTTTCCCATCCTTTCCGACTTTGAGAAATTAATTAATGCCTTCATTTAATCCAAGCCTGATTATTTCCTTTATTTTGGAGTCACTCAGGCTCTTGCTTTGCTACCTCATCTGTATTAATCATTCACAGTGCAGCAGCTCTACTCCTGAGAGGAACACGCAAGCAAGACCACATTTCCCCTGTTTTGGCTTCTTTACACTTTTTCAATTCAATTTCAATACAATTTTAGAGCCAAATCACAACAACAGTCGCCTCAAGGCGCTTCATATTGTAAGGCAGACCCTACAATAATACATACAGAGAAAATATCAACAATTATATGACCCCCTATGAGCAAGCACTTTGGTGAAGTAGGATTGAAAAACTCCCTTTTAATAGGAAAAATCCTCCAGCACAGCCAGACTCAGGGAGGGGCGGGGCCATCTGCTGCGACTGGTTGGGGTGAGGGGAGGAACACAGGAAAAAAGACATGCTGTGGAAGAGAGCCAGAGATTAAAAATAAGTAATGATTTTATTCAGATTCAGATTCTATTCTATTCTATTCTTAATTTATCTATTAAGGATAGATAAAGTTGGGCGTCATCGGCTTTTGGTCTATATGAGTAACTTATCATGACCAAACATTTGATCATTGTCATTGCATCATTCAAGCAAAACTTAAATTTTATTAAGCCAGCTGATGTGAACCTGATCAGATGTTGTGGTTTTGAAAACACAGAAGCTCTTTTTGCTGTTACATGATGTCACTTACAAGTAACAGATTACACCAGTAAGTAGCAGACAGGTCTGGCCCGGATCTGGTGTCACTGCTGACTTACTTGTGGCATGGTAAGTGGTATGTCATCCAGATACGGGCCAGGCCCGGTGTAGATGGCACTGTTTATGTGGTGGCATGCTACATCTGGCCCAATTGTGGTTTGGTTTATGTGGCCCAGGCTCATAGAAAACAGGTCTGGCCCAGATCCGGCATCAAGCTGGCACTTCTGAGTAACTGGTGTCATGGCAGGGTGTATGTCAACCAGATGTGGGCCAGGTCTGGCAATGATGTCCCTATTTATGTTCCTATTTTGCTATTTTAATTTGAAGACCCAAATGCCATGTTGCAATCCAATACTGCTATGGTAGCCAGTGCTTCAAATGCAGGTTTGTGAGTGTACACTTTATCCAAAACCTAGTGAGGGCTTACTCATGTTTACCACTGGTTGGCTGTAGCTCAGGAGGTAGAGCAGGTCACCTACTGACTGGAAGGTTAGTGGTTCGATCCCTGACTTCTCTAGTCTGCATATCAAAAGTGTCAATGTAGTTAAGAAGTGTGCAATTTGGAAAAAATGTGATTGATTGAATGTGGCATGTTGTATAGATCACTTTGAGCTCTGGGAGAGTAGAAAAGTGCTATATAAGAATCAGTCCATTTTCTGAACAGAGTTTTGTTGTGGTACTTTTGCACTATTATGTCCTG